TCACAGTTATCAAGATATATTTATTAGTTTTTAAAAATGAGAAGAATTGCTTGTTCTAGAACAAAGCCACATCGGCCTATCTACTGCGCCCTCTGTGGTGAATCGATTCCTGGATTTTAGCGTTGCAAGTCAGTACACTTAACGCTGTCCCATCGAGGGGACAAGTGGAAAGTTTGTTTGTAATTAAGCACAAGGGGCTATCTGTGCTCTGCCCATTACGAGTATCGAAACCCGAAATTTAGCGTTGTAAGTCCGCAGACATACCGCTGTGCCAAGTGGAAAGAGTAAATTTATCTTATTAGTGTAAAGTCAAGGACTATATATAATAAGTCACTGAATCATAGTGAAATACAAAATACAACACGATGTACATTCGCGTTTATAAAATATTTTTACCATATAACTTTGATATCGTAACAGCAAGCCTACTGAATTAGTAACGAATTCGCCGGGTAATTAAATACATCAAAATAATACATATTTTTCAAGAGCATTTGTCACTAGTCTGTACCTGAAAAATAGGAGTCCATTTATCGAAATATTTGAGCCTGTTTTCCTATAATTACCGACAAGGGTACGAAAGACAATAACTGATTGACAGAGCCAACCGCTGAAACAAAACCCTTACTCAAGATACTTGCTGTCAGTCATTTGTTATGTGCAAGGTTTAATTATACAATATTCAATAACTAATATAGGCTGATAGTCTGTTATAAGATTTACCAGATTTTAGGTCTTGTCACTAAGAGCTGGTTATATAAAGGTAAGGAAGAATGCTTTATGAATGAAACTTCTTCTCAAATATTTTACCTTATTTCCGCCAGGAGCGCCATTTCAGATTTCAATAGGGAGGAGAGGGTAATTTTTATAGGACGTCTTACGGGAGCTATGTCTGTGGACGATTTTGGATTTTTTAACGCTTAAAATGTAAGAAATACTATATTTTGGGAGCATTTACTCTGTTTATTTCCTGTAGCATTTAATAACCATTTAAATAGTGCAAGCTACACATTATGTATATATATATGTTTATTTCCAAAAAATATTTGAAATGTGCTTTCAACTCCTAAAAATAAATACCGAAAATGGAGTTTCAATATAATTATTTCTTTTCTCAAGAAAATAGTAAGATTGTAATTCCTTTCAATGTAAGCAGAATGTGTGTACATATGCCTAAATGAATTTAGTACTATGGTATTGTTGGATGAATTGTGATTGGCTGAACATTATACAATTATTTCAGTTGATTTTGAGCATAATGCACGTATAAACTCGGCCTTTACTTGATGTGCACAATTCTGGACTATGTAAAGAATATTTCAGTCTTCTGACTGCTATACCTCTCTGTCTTCTGACTAAAAGTGGCTTGAGATTAATTGACATTAATTAACAAGAGTTACTCGGCCAACGTTTCATTGTCTTTTGTTTATTCAGGATCTCACTAACACGTGTGACGTGTAGCTATACAGAAAGCCCTGGAAATATTCGAAACAAATATTAGACGCCTGTCTAAGAGGTGTTAGGGGGTGGAATAACAAGTTTCATTTAATATGCATGCAGAAATAAACGTATATAAATTATTTTAAAATTGTGGTATTTATAACGTGCAATTTTGTATACATACAAATATGTACTCCCAATATAAACCATGGGTATTCAAACAACGAGTGTATCTTTTAAATTTACTTCAAACAGAAAGCTATTGAAAAACATATTTCGAAACGGTCAAGCTAAGATAACAAATTAGGTCAACCTTGGAACAAGGTGACATTTACCCTCATTGTTCTAGCCCCAGAGGGCTTTAGCCAGAGGTCAAAGAAACAGAAATGGGGAGAATGTACGGTTTGCATGTTTAGAAAAAATACCTGTACATTGCTTCTGAATCTAGCAGAACTTATGTTTAGGTCTGTTTCTCGCACAGACAACAAATGAGAAACATGACATACAGTTATAAAATCACAAAAACTCGCCCAAATTTAAATATTACATCACATTTGTACTTTTAGCAACAGATTCATTCGACGGGAATCGAAGTTTAAGTGTAAATAATAGTACAACGGCAACAACAAAAAACATTTGATATGTGTGTGACAAAATTGTTGTTGTTGCCATAGTAGTATAATTTATATTTAGATCTCTATTTATATCACATTCATATATCTCTTTGCCTACTTTCAGGAATTTTAAACCATAAAGCTGACAAAAGTTTTTTAATTGTTTTTTTTTTGATCTGTTCATTTCTTTGTACCTTAAGGATTGTTCGGAAATTTCATCAGTAAAGAAAAAAGTTTTCACGCTGTAGTTGTATTTTTTGTATGCGTGCGATTTCATAGTTATCAATTTTTTTTCATTCAGTAATACAAAAACTTATACAGATGCTTTTATCTCCGTATTCTCAAGTACAGGTATATCCAAAGAATGATCCTCAAATCTAAACACATACCAAGCCATATTTGAAATTTTAGGGGCTCTGTTATTAATAATTGCTCATGGACCAAGATCTTCCGCATTGCTTTGTTTTTATTGTTCATGGGCTATGTTATCCTGCATTGTTTTGTTTGGCAAATAGCATTTATGAGCGAGTGGACTCTCGAAAACGTTTGATAGTAAGGAGTACAATGGAATTGTTTCCGTCTCTAATTCCAAGGTGATTTTTGTGTCTTTAATATAGCAGGTTTCAATAAATCTACTTGGTGAGATTTCCTTAATTGTGAAGAAATCATTATCTTGCTCTTTCTGCATATTATTCTTTATCTATGTTTTTGTCAACTCAGCATAGGAAAAGTTGAGATATATGTTCTGTGGGAAGAGTTTAACTTGTAGATATTTACTGCTGTTTACATACGTCGTTTCTTTAAGTGTTTTAATTTTAAATCTTGATTTGCAATTATATTGGTTTCAGAGTTTAAGCAGTTTCCTAACATTTTGAGTTGTGGTCTCGAGGAAATAATGAAATAAAATTCTTTTAGACCTTGCTGTAATCAATTTATAAAATTCGGAGATTTGCGTTATTCCTGATATTTTTTATTAATACTTTATTTTGATTTGTTTTTATTAATGGTCTATGCACTATTTGAATATTATTTGTCTTCAATTGATGGGTGTCCTGCTTTGTTTATATTAGTTTTTGAATGAATGTCTTCAATTGTTGTCCCCCAGTGGCTCAGCGGCAGGTCTGCGGACTTACAACGCTAGAAACTTTAATTGTTTTTTTATTTCAGTTTCTTTTTTTAATTTAATATACGGTTCGGTTTCATTATCTTGTCTTTTTGTTTGTTTTGTCAATGGGATAACTGATTATAAGCTTCAATTTGATTTATACTTGATTAAGGGTGGGCGTGGATTGGGATTAGTATTCTGTGGTTTAGTAATTTATTACAAGATCACAAATGAATTGAAGATGTCGGTATTGTCTAACAGTTCTACAACAATGTACTCATACTTGACATTCAATATTGTTCACCATCCATGATAAAAAGGATTTTATTGAAATTTTAGTTTAAAAATGAGCTATCATCACAGCATTACATCACAGAGCAGATTATATTGAAGTATTTCTTTGTAGATGCAGTTATCAGTGAAAGTTACTTGTTTTCTGTTACAACACTCATGACATTTTCACAAGAGAAAAACGAATATTTTTTTTCTTAAGTTTGTTTATGGATTGTTTTATATTTGAAACTTACTCCTTTTTGTTTGTAATTTTTGTTGGTTAAATCTGAAACATATAATTTTTGCCTAGTTATAATTGCTGATGATCGGTACGATAGTTTTCGAGATCCGAGTTTTGGAAACGCATGCATCGCAAGCTCCATTATAATAAGATATGTAATTTGAAATTATTTTTCTTTCACACTGTATAACTAGCCGATAAGAGTTTTTTTTTAGGGGGGGGATACTTGATTTTAGCTGCTATAACTAAAAGAGCTCACAAACCTTTTTTGTGCGTGACTCCTATCATGTATGGCAGCTTCTATTCCTGTCTTTCCTTTGGTCCATCTTTTTACGTTGGTTACTTACTAAAGGTGGAGAATTTTCTTAGGAGAGACGGTTTTCTTCATTTCTGATATTCACCTCTTGTATAATTATATATATCTAATGTAGGAGCTAATTATGAGACTGATTTTTAAAGATATGCTGCATTATCTGCTTCAAGTTATTTGCAGTAACGATGTTATCTGTCTCATGTGGTTATTGGTATTTCTTTTTTAAAGTTTTGTTATTTATAGAGAGGATTCGTGGTTTTACGTTTTATACGAGGATTAGTGGAATGGAGACCCGCAGTGAGTTTGTGTTTAAATGTTGCAAATCTCTCTCTGTATGGAGTTCCTTTTTTTTTGTAGATTTTATTATACAGATTTAAGTTTAAAGAGCGTTCCCATTTTAAAGTGTAATTTATTTTGTGTTTGTTTTCTTTTTTGTATCTATTGGATTAATTAACTGCTTGTTATTGTTTTCAATTGACTTATTATGTAATGGGACCTTTTTTTTTTCTTAGAAGTTTTGGAGGGGGGTAGAGCCTATTCTTTGCTCATTACTAAATTCCTGTACCATCCAATGTATATAAAGAAACAGGGCCAAAAACTTTTATTGGTAATTTTAATGCAATGGTAAACATTTAGTATTAAGTATAAACATAATGTTGCGAATTGTAATTGGTAAATTAAGATTATAAAACTGACTAAAACTAATGTTTTTATTAGATTTTAAAATATTTGGGGAATAAAAGCATCCTAATATGTGCAGTTTCATCATTAAAGAGGTCGCTACTGTCACAATTTTGCACATTACACCTTTGAAAAAGTAGTTCACTAAATTTTTAACAATATGTACATATTTTGAGCTTATGTACTACACTTTTATATCTGTTAAAAGTAATCTATTATTATATACATTTAATTTACTTAATATATATAATATATAGAGTTCTAATAGCTTATTGTTTAAGATATCAATCCGCGGAGTAAGGAAATATAGTGCTTTACAGCAGCGCCACTAATGGGTGATATACTGTGCTTCTCGTCGAGTAGTTGTGAGAACGTTATTGTGGTTTGTTCGCAAAGCTTAGTTAGAGCTACAAGTTTAAAGGATTTGTTCTTTGACGTCGGTGATTTGGTCAACTCAAAAAAAGGTGGGACGTGTATGTAAAGGAACAAAGTAGTCTGCAATTTGGAAGTAATGGATTCTTTTGCAATGATATGTATGTTTCATATGACACTTTTAAAAGCTTTTTATGTTTTAGCTTAACTATAATATGTTTATTTTTAAGGTTAAAACGTATTTATACATTAGTTATGATAATATTAATATCTCGTGTTATTAATGTATGAGTGAAGAGAATAAGCTAACGTTTTAAATATGTTACTTACGTTTACATTTAGCTAAATAATATTTATAATTTTATTAGCTGTGTCTTATCTTAGGCTTAGGTTTATTAGAACCTTAAGTTAAACTTTAAAATGTCTGTAAGTGCAACTCCATACTTGTTTAACGATAATTAAGCCTAGTACTACGATTAATATTAGTAAAATATTTGCGACTTAATTAATACTAATGGTAATAAAATTCGGCTGTAAAACATAATTAATAATAATAGTTTAATACACAATTAAATAGGTTCATTTCCTTCAGCACAAATCCATTATTATTATTTTTAATGTGTTTTTGTATGGTTGCATTCATTTGTAAATTATCATATTTATATGGTATTAATTTTGCTGTTAGTACTACTACTAGTATGTAGTAGAACTAACTAACCGATTGCACGTTCTTTTGCAGTCTTCAGATTAGTTTTACCTTACTAACACTTGTGTTATTTATTAGTACTATTATTTTGTATGTTACGTTAGTACTACCAGACTGATTATATCCGTTCCAGCAAGTTAGAACTTAAGCCTTGGGTTATGTTAAATTTTAATTTTTCATATGTATTGATAGCTTAGATAGGCAATATAATATATGAGAAGAAAAATTAATTCATAATGGTGGAAATTCAAGTAACAAATGGTGGAGGAAGGTACAGTCACTAAAAACATAATACGTTATTTGTAATGTGCATAATCCATATGAATAAATTACATGATACTTAGTTTTTAAACTTAGTGCCATTTACTTATCTTTTACAGTTACTTACTCTTTATTCATATATTACAAGTCAAAAATTATAATGAACAGTTGAGGCCTTATACTTATTTGCAAAAAAAAAATTAACATGTAGAGTTGGGGCCTTCTTTACCACAACTGAACTTAATGTACATTTCAATTGATTTTAAAATTCTTTTACAAAGTATAATAACTAAAGAAATGCAAATTTTCTAATAAAATACCTTATTTGGGTATTACTGTTTGTTGGTATTTGTGAGTTTCTTTCATCATCTAATAAAAGTATTTGCTCTTGGTGCATTTAGCAGCTGACTGTGATCATAAAACTAATGTTAACCTAGATTTCAGTTAAATTTCCCATGTGAGCTTGTGAATTGCCAATGAAAATGATTATTTTCTGAATGCTGTCTATTCTTAAGCAAACAAAGCCCATGTAATAATATTTTTTAAAATTTTAATGTGGGTTTTAGTGATACATGCATTGAATTACAATGTTCAAGAGAAATAGCCAAATAGATCTCGCTGGTAAATACTGTGAATTATGTTATATTTAAGTATTACTTATTATTTTGTGTGGTGACTCAATGTTCACATTTTTCTTAATAGTTGAAGCTATCAGCTCATGATAATACTATGTGGTATTTTCCTGTTCATCTTATTATAATTTTTTTTTCAGCCAATCAAGCAATATATTGGACTTACATCAATTGACATGATAAATAATAAAACCAGAAATATTTCATTGAATGGGAATGTCCTTAGAACACTCAAGACTAAACAAGTGGTCACTACTGGAGATTTAAAAAAGAAGTCTCTGTCTTCCCAACATTGTTTAGCATTTAGTGGATTATCAAATATTCCATCAGGCATCAAACAGTCTACTGGTATCCAGGATATTAAGTCTTCCCAGCAGCATTTAAAACAGTGTTCAATTCCACGACCTACTTGTCAGAATGGAAATTTGTTTAAAACTGAAAGAAGTGTAGCTGACAGAAGTAGTAGCAGCATAAAAAATATTCCTTTGCAGAAGCATCCCAACACATCAGAACAAATAAATATAAGGAAAAGTAAAAGTAGAGTATCTAATGCTTCTTGTTTAATGTCTGGATCTGTACGACGAGGGCAGTTCAAAACGGACCGAACTGTTGTATCCACTACCAAACAAAAACCTTCTAAACTATTAGTAAATAGAGCTGTAAGGGAATTGCCTTCTCTGGATGAAACTCAAGAATTGAATTTTTCAAGAACTCCATCTTTTAAGCCTAGTCAAAAATTTAGAATGGCGGGTACACAGCATCAGACAGTAAAATCAAAGTCTGCAGAAACTAAGGCCCTTCCAGAAAATCCTAGTGCCAGTGATTTACAACAAGAGGGAACTGATAAGAAAGAGGATTCATTTAATGAAAATAAACCTTTAAGTAAAACAATTAGTCAAACCCTTATTTCACGATTTTCATTTACTAAAACAGTAAATAGAAAGCTTAGTGTAGAAGAGTTTTTACCCCAAAGTAAAACAGCTTTGTCAACTGAGTCACCCTCTGAAATTCAAGCTATTTCCTATGGGAGTACTATCTGTGATAAGTCTGAAAATATAAATAGAAATAGTACAGTCAATGGTGTGAAAAATGCTGTGTTATATTCTAATTTTGATAAAACAGACCTTAAAGAAAGGACAGACCAAACAAATGGTGTAACGAATACAGAGGAAGATTACACTAAGTGTGAATTAGATAGTTCTCTTGCTATAAATGCCACTCTATCCTCGGTTACAGATTCAGTAACTGATCTCAGAGGTGATGCAGTAGCTGTTAAGAAGAAAGTTGGTCAGGTTGACACTGATGCAAACAAAACAGATGAGAATACTTCTGAGTTGCGTTCTGAAGAAGATGAAGCAGTGAAAGCAAGGGATACATCCTCTGATGGGCGTTTTCTTAAATTTGAAGAGGAGATTGGACGTGGATCGTTCAAAACAGTATATAAGGGATTAGATACAGCCACAGGAGTTGCTGTTGCCTGGTGTGAACTTCAAGTTAGTGTGTTTTAGTATTTGTTTGTAAAAATGTATTGTGGTAATTGTAGAAAAAAATGGATACCATTCTTCTGACTTGTTTAAGTTCCATGTGTAGTAATTTCTAGCAAAGTGTAAGTCATGAAGTTCAGTTTTGAAGTATTTTATTTTAATAATATCTTATGTCTATAGTCTGATATACATTTTGTACATTATTGCATTGATATAAAAACATTGGTCATTATAATTTTTTACTTAGGGTACCTTGAGACATTATTACACATATAATAATGTGACAATTTTATGGTGCAAACAGAATACCAGTATGACAAAGGTCATTCAGACCTCAAAGTAGCCTTTCTATCGAAGCAACCTGCTAATACAGCAGAACTAAAACTAAATATATCCCTGTAAATTCATGTGCCTATCCAAGAAAAAAACAAAAGATTCCTAAATCAACAGCATATGTAACAATGTTCAACTTCTCATTACTGACCTTCTTAACAATTAGAATCTAATACACCGCCATTTTCTTTGCTTTACTATTTCCTGTACTAGTTATTATAGATTTTGCATTATAATCTGTTCAAACATCTTGTGTAAACATAATTTGATAATCTTATAGGATGTGCATAAAAGTATAAAATGGGACATTTCAAGAATTTTTCATCATGATGTGGATACACTACAGTAATTGTTAGACTAACCAACAACTTGAAGACATAATTTTACACATCAAAATCTTCAAGCATCGTTTTATATGACCAATTTATTAATTTCTTATAAGTTAGATTTCTCCACTTCCTGTGTATTGATAGCTTTCAGCAAGTTAGTTAACCAAAACTGCACATAAGTGAATGTATCTTATGTGCATATTAAATTGCAAGTTTCACATATTATTATCTTGACAAATTGTACAGATTTTACAGTAGTAAAATAACTTGTAGGCATTTAGATGAATGGATGAATTGCAATTAGGATTAGTAAACTTCAATGAACATACGTAATCAGTGCCATTTTAGTAAATCTGTTTAATGTAATGTGTTTGTTGTGAGTACATTTAATTGGGCAGTCTTTGTTGCTTGTATTAAACTTCACCTTAAATATATGCATGCTATTAACTTTCTAGAGAACAGGTATTACATGTTGCAACAGTAGATGTCTGTTTCCCAGAACACTTAGTTATTCATGACATTCAGTAGTCTAGATTCTATTGACATGTAGTATTTCTAGTCTATTATATAAGATTGTCTTCAAATGTATTCTGATCAGTATAGTTTGCTTATTTGATGATTTATGTAGGACAATATATTATTTAGTGCAAAACAGTACTTTTTGATAAATCAGTTAATTTTGTTTTTCATATACTAATGCTTTATTTTAGCTATTAGTTATTGACAACTATAATTTTTCATGCCTAATCTAGACTTAAGTTTTTTACTGTATTTGATTTTTTGTACTTGTCAGCTTTAAAATCAACAAATAACAGAATGTTTGACTTTACACAATTAAAAACATTTTTACTGTAACTGATTCACTGTCATCACTAAAACTGTATTTCAACAGTTTACTCAAGAGGACAGGAAATCATTTAAACATTGCTCATTCTAGAAACTTGCAAATTAATTAGTAAATTGAAAGCATTACGATTGATAGCATAATTTGACTTACTGGTCATCTTAAAATCAAGTTAAGTCATGCTCACAAAGCTTTATACAAGGAAAATCTAATAGTATGAGAAATTTAAGATGATAAAGCAAAAACACCTACTTCTGATACTGTTTTTATTTTTATTAATTCCCATTTCTCCAGAGGCTCTTCTAAACTATTTCTGACAGTCGATTCAAAATTTGATTTACCATAGACATCAAATACCTTTGGTTAAATGGTCTTAACTACTACTTAGGGATAAGACAAATGTTTTGCTATTAGGATCATATGAAATCCATCCAACGTTTAGATATTTTTTTTTTCAAATTTATAAAGCTTTCTCTTCCTCACTGTTTATTCTTGGGTGTGGATGTGGAAGGGCTCTACTTCAAAGTCTTAGTAAAATATTCACATTGTAGAATTAATAATAATTATCTAAGTACCATTTTTTTTGTCAGAATTACTACATTAATATTATAAAATGTGAAAGTATTTTATTAATGTAACATTAACAACATTTTGACGGGGATTAGGCAGGTGTGTATGAAAAAACAACTTTTTTTTAAATCAATTTCTAAACTTACTAATCCTTATTTTATTTTATATAATAACATTAAAAATGTTGAAAAAGTTACATTGGTCTCTACATATTTTACAAAATTAGTGTTTTCTACATAAGATGGGCAATAATTTGGCTGATGTGAAAAATGACAGATTATCGTACTAAACATACTAAAATAACTAAGAAATCAGGTCCGTTTCTTTACAATATTAATCGACCAACGTACGATCTTTTAAGATTTAAATTTAGTATTTACAACTTTTTTTTCAAAGTATTGTGTATTTTATATACTTATGTGCAAAAATAGGCCCAACTTTCATGTATACCGTTGTGACAGTTGTAATACGTGTATTTGATAGACAGGAACTAAACCACGATGTAACAAAATATTAACAGTACACATGTATTCTAAATAGTTCGCTTAATATGGAATATCTTCTTATACTACGTGGATTTTTACCTTTAGTGGAGGAAGAAGCATTTCATTATGTAGATCTAGATTTACTTGGTTAATACATTCATGATCGATTTATGTTAAATAGTCTCTCGGAAGAATAACGGCGTGCAGAAAGAGCACCTAGTGACGTCAGGTTAGGGCTTTGTAACATTACAGCTGTTTACGTAGGTGTTAAAATGTACGTTCACTTGTTCAGCTATAAAGATTTGATGCACTTCTACCTGTAATTTAAAGTAATGGCTGTATTGTGGTACCTGTAATTTAAAGTAATGGCTGTATTGTGGGTATGTTTAAAAGTCGTTAAATACTTGGAACCCATCATGGGTGAATGGAAGCCATATTAGTATATCAAAGGTGTACATACATTTATTGAATTGTTATACAATTTTGTTTAAAAACTGACTTGTAAGATATTCAAGGTTCCTGAGTAATAAAATTTGCACCTTTCTTTTCAACCTCGCGCATAATAGTTAGCCTATCACGATCTGTTGCCACAAAATTGCGTTCCTCACTTTGGGGTCGAGGGTGCGTTCTAACGCCGGGAACAGACACGCGCGATGGGTACTGCATGGTATTTTTCCCGCGTGGTTCCTGTTAAATACGCGCTGCACTATATTCTGTGAGGTACCTACGTTTTGTGATGGCTAAATGAAAATCTATTTAGTGACTATAACACATCTACATATATAATTTACGTTATGGTTTCAAAAGCATCGTAATATATGTTCAACATCGAGTGATGGGGAAGAAAAGTTAGCTTTTTTTCACTGACATTTACTCTGGATGATGCAATAAAATAAAATATATGGATTCACGATACTTTAAGACAATTTCTTCTTCCGTGCTGTATTGTGATCGGTGAGTGTACGAGGAATATCTGACAGTAGAGAACGGCAGCGGGAAAAATCGTCCTGATTTGACGGTACTAGCGGTATAGTCATGCGCTGATCTGTTCAATACCAAAGAAAAGCAGTTGGTGCGAAGAGTGACGGTCAAACCCACTTTTCGATTTGAATATAGCCCAAAAGTTTAGCGAAAGTTATTATTAGCTAGCTACATTCCCTCTAACGCAGATAATCCTTGTATAACTTTGTGCGAATATCCAAAACCTGAGTCAGACAGATTTAGTGTTGAAATGAGGACTACTGAATTTATTGTGTGGCTGGCCTCTGGTTAAACTACTGCAAAAAAAGAAAGAAAAAACTAAAGAAAGCGTGAAATTGATAAATTTATTCGTATGAAAAATTAAAACACAATGTAAACATCACTTAAAAACGAATAAGGTTTTGTCCTTTAATATTTCATCACACATTTTATAACACGTTTAGCGAAATGTACAGTTTTGTAATAATAGTTAAGATAATCATGAACAATTTAACGATGCTAAACATTTCTTTTTCTCGATAAGTTTTTATAAAAGGTAAAACTTGTCTAGCCCCAGAGAAGTGACCAGCAGTATTGTTGTCTGATTTACTGTTTTGTTTTGTTGATTTGTGCATATTTCATAGTTGTGCATTTGTGAAGAAATCACGAAAACGCCAAAATATTTGTGCCTAATATGAACCGTAAGAAGGCTTGCTGGCTATTTAACAAACTGGGAAGGAAAGTGTAAATTTGTCTTTATGCATCAGTGCTCTATTAGTAAGGCGTTGAGCTGTTCATTGGGTTTGGATACGTCTAGCTGTGTTGCAACTAACCACGAAGAAATGTAATCAAGATGTAGATGCCTTTTGAAGAAGTTCGTTTCATCTGGACTAAACTTCTAGTTACATCCTGGCGAATGTTGTTCAAACTAGCGGACATAACTGCTCTAGGGCACAGACTTGAAGTCGACTGTAAAGCCAATGATTACAGGTTGCATACACTTGTTGCTATAATCACTGGGTATTGTGTAAAATTCTGTTTTGAAGAAGTCTGATACTGACGGTAAAGAAATAACGTGTTAGAAAAAAAATAACGTAGTAAAGTTGTACAGGACATAACATCTGACGTGTGAATTATGAACAAGTTTTGAAAAGTGAAAAGGGCGCCACTGAGCACACCATAATATCAATCTATACAGTATGTGCACTAATAAAAACTTAACTATAAAAGGTGTGTATTATTTGTACTACAATGACATTAGTCGTTAAGCATGGTACACTTAAGATAATTTTAAGGTAGGTATTTTATAATTACTGTTTGATTATAGCGAACGTGGATTATTTCTAATGAAAACAATAGTGATTATACGTGTATGATAACCATTGTAACGCCGTTTCAAACGTTAAAAAATTATTGTACTTTATAATTGATTCATAGTATTTTGTATTGTACTCTGTGGACGATGCACGAGTTGTAACACTGAACATA